CTACTCCGATGTCCTGACGGACTGAGCCGAGCCAGGCTTTGAGCTAACCACTTCTTCGACGGTTCCAATAACATAACGGTTTCGGGTCGAGGGCAGTAACCCTGAGTTCGTGAGGTTGACGACGAAAAACATGTCCAAACCACCTCAGTTGTCTTTCTTGGATGGCCTGGGATATCCTTGCGATGTTGTCGCAGCGAGTGCGGACTGTCTCATTTGAGATGATGTCGGTGTACTTCACTCGAAGGATGGTCATCAAGCAGTGGTGGTCAAATACTTTCAGTTTCCGTTCACCTTCCATACGCATAGCCCTGAATCCGTAGTGGTATAGCAAAACAGACTGCACAGACGCACGGTACACGCAGAGCTTTGTAATAATAGAAATATCGCGATGGGTCTATAGGCACTTTCGAAAGCTAGAGAAAACTCGACGAACTACATCGATTCGGGAGACAATCTCATCTTTCCTCTGTCCTTTCGGTAACAACTTTGCTCCGGAGTAGATGAAACTGTCTACTTCTTTATATGTACAGCCATTTATCTCGAAGGGTGCCTTCTCTTTTGCAGGGTTGCAAAATGAGAACACCATGGCATACCCAGCGTTACTGGACAAACTGACCGATTTAGCGACCTCGTTCACCTGCGCCGCCATAGAATGTAGATCGCCAAAGTTTGAAGTTAGTAAAGTGATATCATCGGCATAGCCGAGATCAGGCCATCTGTGTCTGGGTGCAAGCTCAATACCGTCATTTTCCTGTAGGGCCTTCCCGAGAACCCAATAAATGGCTCAGTTAGAGAGAATGGCGACAGGATACAGCCTTGTCGAACGCCAGACCGAAAAGCGAAGGGTTCTGAGAGGTTGTTGTGCACTAGAACCCGCACAGTGGTGGAGCAGTAGTATGCCTTTAGCATGGCGATTATTTTGGTGGTACACCACCCATTGCCATTATCCGCCATAGGGATTCACGATGGACGGAATCGAACGCAGCGACAAAGTCAACAAAGCAGACGGCCGTTGAGTATTGGTAGCCATGGTATGAATAGCTGGTCCACGCATCCAC